ACTGCAGGATGCGGTTGTCTGGAGTTTTAGTGAGAAGCCATAACTAGTGTCGTCCACCTGGATGTTAATCTGATGATATTGGCTGGAAGTCGCGCTAAAATCGCGAAATAACAGAAGCTAAAATTCATGGGTAAGTGAACTGTTGCCCAAGTGGCTGATTGGTCAACGAGCTTGACTTCATAACCTGAAGGTCTTGGGTTCGTTCCCTGGTGGTGAGGTTATTGGTGCGTACTGCTAAAGAACGAAACAGCTATCCAGTACTAACCGTGGGTTTTCAGTGATTCTGTAAGGTGATATCAGTTCATAATCAAACTGAAAACAAATTCGAATGATCGTAATATAAAAGTCAGGTTATAAGGAGTGATCTGTCAGAGATGCAAGCTTCTTTCACTGACAAACAAAACATTTAACTGAATTGTATTTTATTTTCTTCATGATTCAAATGGGTAGTGATTTATGGAGAATTAAAACAACATATTTCATTACCATTAGTTTCTATACATATTTTAACATTCAATTGTTGTATCTATTCGGATCAAGTTTTTCTTCTGGTAAGCACAGTGTCATCACTCAGTACATACATAAATCGGAGAATATGAATTCAGAACATAGAAGTCAGTAAGAAGAGTTATATTCGCATAGCTTCACCTCAAAGCTGTGCAGTTATTTAGGGGATTATGCATACTATGTTAATTCACAACTAAGATCAGAGGTTATTGTCAGTTAGTAAAAAATTAAGTCAAGGTGTATGAGGAATAGTGAATTATCTTACGTAATCGAGAGGGCTAACGACTGATTAGTTAAGTGAGGAATGATCATTCTCTTGTTCTCTTGTTTCTTATCGATTATTTTCAAATGATTATCCATCAATCATCCAATTCATCCAATAGTTCTCTAACCGATTTCAGCTCATGATGAAATCTTGTAGCCAATCAATCAAATCTCTACAAACCAATGAGATGTTCATTAGCGACTGGCCCTATTCAGGTAGGTATTTACCTGGGTTCTAGTAGGAAGTCGTGACCAGTTGGGTACAGCAGGTCGGATGTGAAGACAAATACTCGCCACAGATGACATTGGCTAGTGCTTGCCCTATGTCATGAATTGTTGGAATTTGGAATTCATAGGCTAGCCATTGAATCGAGTGCCAGTGGCTTGATGGCTTGCAGAGCTCGCCTTGTAACCAGAAGGTCCTGGGTTCGAACTCTGGAGGTGGTGCGTACCGATGAAGGGTCCTAAACTAGGACGACAGAGCTGTCCAGTAATGCCTGCAGGTTTTCCAATGGTCCTCTAACCGGTGTCAGCTCATGATGAAATCCCATAACCAATCAATCAAATCCCTACAAACCAATACTTGATTATTCATCACTTAACCAAGTAGTCGCCAACTCTTGCCTAGTTGCGTAAGATAAATGTTTATTTATCACACACTATTGCTTCTCATCCACTTTGACCTAATTTTTTACAAACTAAACATGACCTCTGACCTTTCTTGTCAGTTATTATTGTATACATAAATCCCTAAATATCTGTACAGATTTGAAGGTAAGTAATAAAAAGTGATTATTTTGGTTGACTTATGTATTCTTAATCACATCATGTAGGAGTACGAATTCAGTAACAATGTTGACAACATTGATTTTACGGGTATGTGAGACAGGGTTGCTGCATATGCTGCTTTGTTAGATGATAGTTCCTTTGGCTAAAAACTTAATTTATTTTAACTTCGAATATCACCTTGTTTTATAAACATAAGTCTACCCAAAAATAAGGAAATCTACATCAATTTCAATGCCGTTTCTAATTTCACCTCCATTACTACCTAGTAACAGTCTGTCAATAATCCACATCTATCTCAGATAATCTAACCATCAATTTCATAATTGACGAAGGTAATATTGAGACAAAACTGACATTTCGCTCGGTAAGCAAAAAACAAACTCAGTGTTACTGATGTCTATCACTTCTTGCCTGAATGAGAAATATGAACACAATAATAGTTAACTACTCTACTCTCGACTTCATATTCTGCTTATTGGTAAAACTTTGAATCTTTCTATTGGAATTTTATAATCATAATCATATACAAACTCGAATGCAGGAGGGGAAATGAGTTCCTTCAAGGTTGTATATACACGCCTTGCTGACGAATGCCAGAAAGCACGAAACTTAGCTCCACAACCTCACGCCAATTACCTCCAACTATCAAACATCTATTCAGGGTGCATCGCGATTGCAAGCCACCTAGCTTCGTGACCACATTGTAAAATTGATTGACCGAATTCGGTCTACAGCAACATCTAAGGACTAGACGCATAATATTAGTTACTCCTTACTGACCAATCAATGTATCATTTACAGGAGATCAATCGATGCAGAAAGTGCTTTAATTATCAATGAAATTAAATCTATAACTCTTGAGGTATATTTCTCAAAATTGTGGCTTAAGTGAATACAGTAACTCTAATAAGTGTACTAAAGTGTAGATAAAGGATTAATGCAAGATAAAGACGTCCTAATGAAATTTTCATTCTTCTAAGTGTCACTCAGGAAAAGGGAAAATATTTAGACATACTGTAAATATCACTTTTAGAAAAATCTGAGAATTGGGTTGTATTCCTGTCAAATTATTCTAATTCAGACCATTGATGTATGCTCATATATATATATATATATATATATATTGTGTAAAGAAAACCAGACAATATCTCTATTTCATAACTTATTCAGGAATAATCCTATCGATCGACTGATTCGACGAAAACTGAGTATTCAGGCGCTTTCCAACACAATAGCATGAAATTATATGCGTTTAGGCTAAATAAAATTTTTTGTTTCCAGATGGCGAAAAATGATTCTTCCAGTGTAATTTATTGATTTGAGAACGGGTTTTTTTGTAAAAAATTGTCGCAGACTAACACACTAAAATTATTAATCTTTTGAAAGTAAGACATCTGTCATTGGAAAGTTATTTCGTCCTTAGCAAAACTGAAAGACACAGTCTGATATAATGAAGATTAGATATATGTATGTCTATATTTACTTACTTAACGAGTGAGAATACAGAATTAGGTTTTTGCATAATGGATGCATAAAGTGTACGATAAGAAGGTAAACTGAGAATAATATTCAAGTAATTCAGAAACTCATCACGTTATATACTATCGATTGATCCACTGGAGTAGTTGAACATCATTCACATCAAAAGCTGGTACTTGCCAGCCAGATTAGAATGAACTAAACACTGGACCATCGTTTTACCCATTTGGCGGCTACGTTCATGAATGGTGTACCTGATTTGACTTAACTCATACAACCAAATGAGTTCAAACCACCCAACAAACTGGTAATATGTTAGATCAGAGACTCATCATCCTACATACAGAATGTCGTAGCGGTAAATGACAAAATTTGAAAATCATTTAGGCGAAAGTGTATGATTATTTTGAAGGCTTGGCTAATTTCTACTGTGTGTCCTGTGTCAATTAAATGTCTAGCGATTGCATTCGATGACACTTTTCTTCCTTTTGTACGGAAACTCTTAGGAATGTGCTCAGAAAATCTAGTAGATGCTCTCCTCTCAGTCCTTCCTACGTACTTGCTTCCGCAAGTGCAAGTGAATTGATAAATGCAGTTGGAGTTGACGTGAGCAGGGTACTTATCTACTTTTGACTGGGTTAACGAGCACACAGTGTTGTGAAATAGGATCAGTCTGGCGCTGAACGTTCTTTTAATGCACCTGTGATTCTTTTTTATGTTCTTATGGATACGTCTTCCCCTTTGTACGCTAGGCAGATGAAAACTGGTTTCTTTTCAAAGGTGTCAGGTTTCGGTTTGTATGCTTCTTCATTTCTATGCTTTAATATGAACTTTCGGGGATATCCATTCTTGACAAGGTTCTTTTCGATGACCGCGAGTTCTTCTTCAATCTTGTCTTCCGAACATATTTCTTTGGCTCTGCTGAAGAGCGTTTTTACTAGACCTCGTTTGTAACTGGTTGGGCAAAAGCTGTGATAATTTAAGTATTGACCAGTCCAAGTTTCTTTCCTGTAGACAGATTTTTGAATCGTCCCATCGTTTCTTCTTTTTATGTTGACATCTAGGAAATGGAACCGGTTATTTCTTTCGTAGTCAAATGTAAATGAAATGTAATTGGGATGAGCGTATTCTATTTCATTGCAGACCACAAACCTGTCGTCGACATATCTGCAGTAATAGGTGGGTTTTTTTATTTCTTCTTTCATTCGTATCTGTTCAAGATGAGCTATGAATATGTCAGCAAGAACAGGACCCAGAAGTGAACCCATAGCCACCCCGTCAATCTGCCGGTACAGCTGATTGTTGAATCGGAATTGAATATTCTTTGTACATAGAATTAGCAATTTGCAGTAGCAATTTATCGAGTGCAATCGCCAGACATTTAATTGACACAGGACACAAAGTAAAAGTGTATGAATAACCTTACCCCGAAACGGCATCAAATAAATGTGTGTTGTCTAACAAATTATAAGCCATTTTAAAAGTCGTTTACACCTTGTGTGTGCTCGCGCGCTTCCTGCCTTTTGTAGGGCATACTCCAAACCATTCTTTCACAAAGTATGCATGTCACCACTCGTATCCAATTAATCACAACTTAGTGATTCACGAAGTTTAACTTCTCTCAATTCTATCAGGATTATTCTTATAGGCTTGTTTTTGATCACTTAGTGTTCCGAGTGAAACATACGGCTTAATGTTTGAGCTTTGAAGCTTCAGTAGCCGTGGTTTACTAACGGTTAGCAAACTAAGCTGGGTTTATGGGAGTATGTTACCCAGGAATCGAACCCCGGGCTAAGTGCGCAGTTGGTTGGTGAAAATTCTCATAGTTAAAAACATAAAAATCATCCTACCTCTGTTATCTCATGCAAGCAGAATAAAATACACTATACGCATGTATTTATATAATTAAAATTTCCAAAAATCAATAATTAATTACATTTTTTTAATGTCAATATACTTACCAGCTGTATCAAGGATTGAAACGTCTACATTACAACCGTACAAATTGATTCTTTTCACATATGAATCTGATTTAGTTGGTTCATAGTCTTCAACAAACTAAACAAACTGATATTATATACAACTGAAATTAATCTTACTTCATCGTACATAAACTGTAGAGTTAGCGCACTTTTACCAACATTACCACTGCCTAACATACAGATATGCAGTTGGCCAATGGGATTTGACATTGTTTTTTGCTTCTTGTTATCTCTTGGATGTCAGTTGAATTCACTAGTACTATTATTATTATTGTTTTGTGTATTCAATAGATACACAAAAACAAATGATGAGATTTCAATGTTTATTCTCTTGTATACAACAATAAACTCTGTTTTTCAATTTGTATATCCAGATAAATGTCTGTAAAATAAGTAGAAATATAAAGTGATAAGATTATGCTATGACGATATTTGTGTATCATAATGATAACAATGTTATTTCAGCAGTTTGTACATGACTAAAAATCACCGGGTAGACTGAATTGGCTGACATACGTGTGACATGTGGTGGTACATTATCGCAGATTAAACTTGCATTATTATTATTATCATCATCATAAATTATGGACCTGTTGGGTTCTGAGTGGAACGCACAGCTTCATTGGATCCTGTTCTGTGGAGTCCTTTTTAGCTGTCTCCACAATTGCCTATTATTATTATTATTGTTTCCTTTAATTCCTAGAGGAACATAGGGCTTCAGCCGTGCGTCTCCATTGAGTTCGGTTCTCTGCTAGGGTCTTCACCTGGCTCCATGCCTGCCCACACGTTTTCATCTCCTCTTCACATGACCTCCTCCAAGTCACCCTTGCACTGACGACCAAGTCTCCGCTTCCCATTCTGTCGGGTTCCACTCGAGCAATGGCTTGTCTAGTGATGTCATTTGATGGTTTCCTCAGAGTATGACCAGCCAATCCATCTCCATTTCTTCCTGCCTATTTGTTTCACAATCGGTTCCTGGTTGGTTCGCTCCCAGAGATCTCTGTTGCTGATCTTTTCTGGCCAGCCATCTGATCTTGGGTATTGAGCGAAGACAACTGTTAATGAACGTCTGTAGTTTGTTTGAGATGCTCTTTATGACGCACTGGCCAAGTCTCTGATCCGTATAGTAGGTAGCACTGACTTCACACTGGAGTTGAAAATCCGGATTTTATTTTTGATGCTGAGTGCTGTTGACCTCCACACAGACTTGAGAGTAGTGAAGGCTTGCATTGCTTTCCCGATTCTTGCTTTGATTTCCTCGTCAGTTCCGCCTGTAGTTGAAACGATGCTTCCCAGGAAGGTAGGTGAAAGAGGTTGTTTCTTTCACGTTCCTCCTATTTATGCTGATCGTTGTCTGTTGTTGTTGTTCTTGCCCAGAAATCTTCATCACAATTGCCTATAAGCTTTCATTTTCTCTTCACGCGATCTCTATCTTTTCACCCTCGGATGCCCAACTCATCTTTCGCTTCCTATTCGAGTTCCACTAGACGGTTTGTTTTGAGTGTGATGCTGACAAACAGTCTTCTTAATGTATATCCAATCCACCTCTATATCCTTCGACACATTTGTTAGGCGATAGGTTCTTGGTTAGCTCATAGACAAGATGAAACCTGGAAGACTGACTAATTCATGGCACATAGTATAAGTCAGAAAACGTAGCTTACTTTCATTTGGATAATGATAACACTTAACTAGATTTTACCTGAATTCTTTTGAGGCTGAGCATATCTATCGTAGGTATAATTTATTTTGATAAAGTCCAACAGTGTTATACAGTAATATTTACTGGCGACCACGTTTCGAGCACAAATTATCGCCACTCATAATCATATCAAGCAAGGCACTAATCACACAACTTTCTAACTTCGTTTATATAATTCCATTATTTTCCATCGCTTAACTTGATTGGTAGTAGTATTTTCCATTGAGGAAATTATTTTAGGAGTTCAATTATGCCTGACATCTACTATCTTTAAATTCCAAGGCAAAATATATAGACAAACAGATGATGTAGCAAGGAAAGGCATCACCAATATCCCTTATCGTAGCAGATATCTTTATGAACAGCTGGGAAAATATCGCTTTAAATACATGTAATCCTAATCCAAATATATGGTGGAGATATGTAGATGATGCTTTCACAGTGTTGAAAACAGAACATATCTCTAGCTTCTTGATGCATATAAACTCACTAGTGAAGGGAATAAAATTTACATTTGAATCGGAAAATGAACAAGGAAAATTAGCTATGTTAGATTGTAAAATCAAACGAACAGAAGAAGGTAGACTGCACACTAGCGTTTATAAAAAACCAACGCATTCTAACAGATATTTAGACTTTAATTCATCTCATCCTTTAACTGTTAAGGCAGGCTTAATTAAGTGTCTAACAAACCGAGCAGTAGCACTAAGTAGTACAAGAAAAGACCTAAATGATGAAATAAAACAGATAGAAGAAGAGCTGGTTGGTATCAAATAACTATCCTATAAAATTCATTAGGAAGATGAGGAAAGGTCAAAAGCAAAATAAAAATAATTGTGAAACTAGTAATGATAAAGCAGGAATGAGAGTGACATTTAAACCTACAAACTCACTCAGGGACAAGCTCTGTAGGCTAAAACACCCGGTGGACCCAATTAGACAAAATAATATAATTTAAAAAATACTCTGCAATGACTGTGATTGAGGTCAACTACATAGGTCAAACTAGTAAGTCAAGGGTAGTCAGATTGTTGGTACAAGAATTTAGCTAAGGTAAAAATGGTTGACCCCGAGAAGATAAGTAACTTACAAATAAGCTCAACGATTGCACTGCGTGCATTAACACACAACCACACAATAGGGTGGGAGAGGGTTGAAATTCTAAAAAGTAATCTAGGTAGGTGAAGAGAGAGGTTGATTACAGAATCCTTGTTCATCGGATCTACACCCAACACATGTAACAGAAATGATTCATCACTCATACCGGAAATATGGAAAATACTACTACCAATCAAGTCAAGCGATGGAAAATAATGGAATTATATAAACGAAGTTAGAAAGTTGTGTGAGTGAGTACCTTGATATGATTATGAGTGGCAATAACTTGTGCTCAAAACGTGGTCGCCAGTAAATATTCCTGTATAACACTGTGAGACTTTATCAAAATAAATTTTACCCATAATGGCATTATACTCTACCACAGTGCACAAGTTCTATTCTTATATCAATGATACACATAACCTAGTCTACCTGAAATGAAACTGTAGTTATGCACTAAAAATCAGTTATTTCTCCTCACTTAGTGAACATTACTTAATTTAAGCTTAATCATTATTTTTTCAAACTATCCAATCACATACTCTGTTGTCTTTTACTCTTAAACTATCATTAAACATAACAATTTTAGCTAGTTCACATTTGTTTTTGGCAACTTTCTACTCTGTTGCGTCTTTCATTATGTATGTCAAAGTGAAACCTACCTCTTACTTAGCTGTGTTTTTTTAAAGTGGTTTTGCGCTGAAATTCATTTTTGAAAAGTACTAATGTCTACGTGTAAGATGAAGATAAAAGTAATCGTGAGGTGTTTTCGCGCATATTACAGCAAACCTAATATTCCAGATGTGTGAAAAAAAAGCTGATTAAACACATTTAAGACAACCAAACATAACATCTGATATGCTAACAGCATTCCTCTATGCACGCTATGCAAAATCACATGAGACCAAACTATATATAGAAATTTAAATCATATTTAACCGCCTTCGTTCTACCCTCTATTCACAGTTAGGTTAAAACGAAAGTGCGGCAAATTTGTTTTGCTAAAACTTATTATTAAAAGATGACTAAATCTTAAGAAAAAAAAGTATCCGTCACGTTGGTCACTCTACTTTTTGAATGAATCGGGGATATGGAAAGTGTGGATGAATTAGTTATCATTCATTGTCAATGTATTTATTGGTGAAATTGAAGAAGGCCTTCAGTTATATTTTTCAAAACCTTCAGAGGGTAAAATTCTTAAGAGTTTCTAGAAAAGAGCAAACATCTGTCTAGTAAATGATTTGCTCTTCAGATGAATTTAGTTTAATTTGAGTATTGTTTCAAGATACTGAAGAAATAATTTGCTTTTTTAGTTCACCAATGTAATACCTTGTAAGATTATACACCTTATTTTTCAGGTTATTGCATATATTTTCTTTCAAATTACCTAATATGTCTAAAGTAAAGTTAGGATACTGAAGCAACTTGTTTGATGGTGGCTGGTAATAGAATTCAGGACGCAGGTTTCATCCTTTTGGGGGCTCATCAGACGAATTTACTGGCTGCCAAATAAGTTGTGAAACTTGGACCCAGCACTTATCTCCTTAAACAAGCAAGCATAGTCCATTAGGCTAAAGATCCATGGTAGCCACCTTTTATTCAACGGGTATGATTTAAAAAATTATTCACTGATTCTTGCAATGTCCCGCTGACATATCTGATCAAAGTTTATAAGTCTCACTTTGACATTACTGGCATTATTACGACTGTCAACTTGAAATTATTTGTTTAGCACTCACTGCAGGGCAGGTAAATTCATTTGACGAGTCCCAAATAGTTCAACTGCAGTTCATTACTTGTCACTAAGAGACAAGTAATTCTAAGTTAATAGCCATGGTAACATTCAGGCATCCGTTCAATCAGCCAATATGTCAATGGAAAACCACAAGTATGAACAGAGAATCATTTAAAAACATTTTTATCAGTCTATAAATATCTTTCTAACGAAGTAAACATAAGCTTCCCATTAAAGGTGAATGCAAATAGCTGGAGTCTATTCAAAATAAACGAATAAACGACTGGAGAAATAACACGTTAATGCTGAAAATTGCCTTTAACAGTCTGACCATCTTGGGAAATATATAACCCACCAAATTTATAAAATAAACTGACGCATAAATCAGTATCCTATATAATTTTACAGTTATTCATTAAATGGTAATTTTAATTAAAATTTCTAATTTAAAAATGAGAATTTAAACAGAAATGTCTCTATGTTATGTTATGCTAATGTGTCAAAAAGGTAGGAATTCAAGGTGTAATCTATGTATCTTTTAGAAGTTAATTGATGGATGGTGATTAGCAGTGGAATCCAGGATGCGCATCTCGTCCCACTCGGGACTCGTCATATGGATGTACCTGCATTCCGCAGTGAGTGATGATTTTCCCACCGAGGCTCGAATCCACTGCCCATAGTTTCAAACGTTAAAGCCCTGGGTTCGTGCCTCTGTGGGAACATCATCACTCACTGCGGAATGCAGGCACATCCAGATGACGAGTCCCAAAAAGGACGAAATGCGCATCCTGAATTTCACTGCTAGTTACAATTCACTAATTAAATTCTAATTGCATGCCGAGACATC